AAAAAAAAAAACTCAACTTAGAAGAGCAAAGGACTTGAATAAACATTTCTCCAAAGTAGATATACGAGTGGCCAACAAGCACAGGAAAAGATGTTCAACGTCGTGGGACATGAGGGAAATGCAAACAAAACCACGTTAAAAAAAAAAAAAATCCACATGAGATACCACTTCACACCCACCAGAATAGCTGTAATCAAAAAGGGAGACAGTAACAAGTGTTGACAAGATGTGGAGAAATTAGAACTCCCCTGCACTGCTGGTGGGGTGTAAAATGGGGCAGCCACTTTGGAAAACAGTCTGGCAGTTCGTCAAGAAGTTAAAGATAGAGTCACCATAGGACCCAGCAAATTCACTCCTAGATAGATATGCAGAAGAACCGAAAACATGTTCAAACAAAAATTTGTACATGAATATTAAAAGAAGCACTATTCACAATAGCTGAAACGTGGAAACAATTCAAATGTCCATCAATGGATGAATAAAACATAGTGTATCCATACAACGGAATATTATTTAGCAATACAAGGGAATGAAGTGTTGACACATGCTACAACATGCATGACTCTCGACATCTTACACTAATTGACAGCAGCGAGTCACAAAAGGTCACATACTATACGATGCCGTTTATATGAAGTGTCCAGAATAGGCGAATCCATGGAGACAGAAAGCAAATTAGTGGTTGCCAGAAGGTTGGGGGAAAAGAGGAGGCTAGAGAGTGACTCCTTAATGGGTACAGGGTTTCTCTTTGGGGTGATGAGAAGGTTCTGGAAATTGGTAGCGGTTGCACAACATTGTGAATGTACTTAACGCCACTGCATTTTACAATTTTAAATGGTACATTTTACATCACATGTATTTTATGATAAAAACTAGTAATACTGCCAGATCTCCACCTAACATTGATTTGGTTGGTCTGGGTGTGGCCCGGGGACCTTTCAGAGTTCCTGAGGGTGGGACTTCCCTGGTGGCTCAGTGGTTAAGAATCCACCTGCCAACGCAGGGGACACAGGTTTGAGCCCTTGTCCAGGAAGATCCCACATGCCGCGGAGCAACTAAGCCCGTGCGCCACAACTACTGAGCCATGCTCTAGAGCCTGCGAGCCACAACTACTGAGCCCTCGTGCCACAGCTACTGAAGCCCACGCACCTAGAGCCCGTGCTCCACAACGAGAAGCCACCGCAATGAGAAGCCCACATGCCGCAACGAAGAGTAGCCCCCGCTCGCCGCAACTAGAGAAAGCCCACACGCAGCAACGAAGACCCAACGCAGCCAAAAATTAAAATAAAAAAAAAAAGTTCCCAGGGGTTCCAGCTCCCTGGGGAGCAGGTACTGGTGTGTGTGGCACAGAGAGGCCATGACTTGCCCAGGGGTCACACAGTGCATGGTCCTTCCCGGAGGGAATCACAGGTCTGCCCCTCTCCTTCCAGCGCCGGCTGCTTCTTTGGTGACGAGGTGAGGGGTGGTGGCGAGTCTCGTGTGCCAAGTGACTCGGAAGCCAAGAGACCCAGGCCTGACCCTGAGCATGATGTGGAGGTTGCCAGCCCTGCCTCCACCCCGGCCGAGCTGCCCTGGACCAACATCGACCTGAAGGAGGCCAAGAAAGGGCCCAGCCATGCGGCCGCCGAGGCCACCAACCTCTCCTCGCTGGCACTTCTCCCGCTGGGCCTGGAGGAGCCCGACAGCACCAACTGCCATGCGCTGTGGGCCTGGGTGTCCGGAGGAGGCTGTGCCGTGGAGGCCCACACCCCACTCAAGTGGTTCACCGTCCACTCGGGTAAGGGCAGCGGCCCAGCGCCCCAGAGGGTGCCCCAGGGGAGGTGGGGCAGGCCTGATGCCCCCACCGTGCTCAGCCCATCTTTCTGGAGCCTTCCAAGACCAGCCCAGGCCATCAGGAGGAAGGGCATGGGCCTGGAGCCCCTTCCCTCCCCCTGTCCCAGAAGTGGTGGCCATTCTAGGCTGACCTGGGGGACATCAACTTTCCCATCAGGGTGAATGATGGGAGGGAGGGCTCACGGGACATTTTACAGAGATGGTAGCTTTCTAGAAAGAAAGGGCTGGTGAAAAACAGAGCAGAGAGGCCTGGCCTGCTGCCCAGCCCTGAGGCTCCGACTGGCCCGCAGGCCTGTCCGCCTCCATGCAGATGCTCTCGCTGTCCATCACGCCGGCCCAGACCACCACCTGGCGGAAGCAGATCTTCCAGCAGCTCACAGAAAGGACCAAGCGGGAGCTGGAGAACTTCCGACACTATGAGCAGGCCGTGGAGCAGGTGGGCAGTGCCCGGGTGCACTTTTTTCAGCACACATTCATTGAGCACCTGCTGCATGCCAACCCTGAGGTGAGGTGGGAGGGACACAGATGGATGCAGCCATTCTTCTGTCTGTCCATCTCGGATGTGAAGCTGTCCCCTCCAGGCCCGTGTAGAATCAAAGATGAAGAGATGAGTCCGTTTGTTGATTCACTTGCCCTCAAGAACTCCGTGCGGGCCCCACTACATTGTAGACACAGAGGACCTGGCTGCGTCTCGGGTGGCGTGGGTCCCGGCTTTGCTGCTGACTCACTCTGACATCGGGCCAGGCACAGAACCTCCTGGGCCTCAGTTTTACTATCCAGGGCATGGGGTAACGGTGCCGATCCCACAGACTGTTTGAGAATCATAGAATTCGCTGGCTCGGGGCCTGGCACCTGGCGGTGTCTGATGGCGTCACTTCTGTCCTTAGGGTGAGGGGGGGTAGCCAGGAGGGCAGGGCAGGAGCCCCCAGTGTGGCAGTGAAGGGAGCAGAGTGGCCCCGGGGTGCCGGGGACTGGGCCGGAGTGTGGCGCCCCAGGGCCTGCCTGTGACCCCGTCCCACCGTCCCGCTGTGCTGCAGTCGGTGTGGGTGAAGACGGGAGCCCTGCAGTGGTGGTGCGACTGGAAACCCCACAAGTGGGTGGATGTCCGTGTGGCCCTGGAACAGTTCACGGGCCACGACGGGGTTCGGGACAGCATCCTTTTCATCTACTACGTGGTCCACGAGGAGAAGAAGGTGGGTGGGGGCGCCAGGGGGGA